GGGTTCGGGGTTCGAGCCCCAGGTTGTCACCAACGACAATTATTTTTTTTCGTCAGAGCAGGGGTTGGGGAGGATCGACTGTCGACGACACGTGACTTTTGACGTCACCACCCTTTGCAACCAAAGGTTTATATATATTATGAAATCCCTGCTTGATAAGTGCGAGCCGGTAGCCCAGTCGTGAGAGTGGCGCTTTCTGATCAACGATTTCGAGGTTGGGGGTTCGAGCCCCAGGTTGTCACCAACGATAATTATTTTTTTTCGTCAGAGCAGGGGTTTGGAAGGATCGACTGACGACACCACGTGACTTTTGACGTCACCACTTTCTGTGGTTGGGGGTTCGAGCCCCATGTTGTCAGCAACATGTTTTTTTGTCAGAGCGCAGGGGTTGGGGAGGCACGACGACATGACGTCACAACCCTTTGCAACCGGAGGTTTATAAAATATTATAAATTCCCTGCTTGATAAGTGCAAGCCGGTAGCCCAGTCGGTAGAGATGCGCTCTCTGATCATCAATTTCGGGGTTGGGGGTTCGAACCCCAGGTTTTTACCAACAATATTTTTTTTTTTTCGTCAGAGCAGGGGGGGGGGGCGACTGACGACGACACGTGACTTTTGACGTCACTACCCTTGGCAGCCGGAGGTTTATATATATTATAAATACCTGGCTGGATAAGTGCGAGCCAGTAGCCCAGTCGGGAGAGTGGCCCTCTCTGATCGTCCATCTCGGGGTTGGGGTTCGAGTCCCAGGTTGTCCGCAACATTTGTTTTGTTAGAGGGGTTGGGGAGGAGCGACTGTCGGCGACACGTGACTTTTGTCGTCACCACTCTTTGCAACCGGAGGTTTATATATATTATAAATTCCCGGCTTGATAAGTGCGAGCCGGTAGCCCAGTCGGTAGAGTGGCGCTCTCTGTTCATCGATCTCGGGGTTGGGGGTTCGAGTCCCACGTGCTCACAAACGACACTTATTTTTTTGTCGGTGAGTTGGGAGGGGCAACTGACGACGACACGTGAATTTTGACGTCACCACCCTTTGCAACCAGAGGTTTATATATAGTATAAATTCCTGGTTTGATAAGTGCGAGCCAGTAGCCCAGTAGCCCAGTAGCCCAGTCGGTAGAGTGGCGCTCTCTGATCATCAATCTCGGGGCCCCAGGTTGTCACCAACAACTTTTTTTTTCGTCAGAGCAGGGGTGGGAGAGGCAACTGACGACGCCACGTGACTTTTGACGTCACCACCCTTTGCAATCGGAGGTCTATATATATTATAAATTCCGTGTTTTGTACGTGCGAGACGGTAGCCCAATCGGTAGAGTGCCGTTCTTAGATCATCAATCTTGGGGTTTGAGGTTCGAGCCCCAGGTTGTTACAATCGACAAATTTTTTTTTCGTCAGAGTTGAGTTGGTTGGGGAGGTTTATATATATTATAAATTCCCTGTTTGGTATTGCGAGCCGGCAGGCCAATCGGGAGAGTGCCGTTGTCAGATCATCAATCTTGGGGTGTGAGGTTCGAGCCCCAGGTTGTCATAATCGACAGTTATTTTTATTTTCGTCAGAGTTGAGGGGGTTGGAGAGGACTGACTCGAGCCCTAGGTTGTCATCAACGACATTTATTATTATTATTATTATTTTCGTCAGAGCGATGGAGGGAGGGGGTGGGGGGGGGGGGGGGAGTTACGACGAAACGTGACTTTTGACATCACCACCCTTTGAAACTGCAGGTTGATATAATTTTTAAATTCCCTGCTTGGCATTTGCGAGACGGTAGCCCAGTCGGTAGAGTGCCGTTCTCAGAGCACTAAATTGGGTTTGGAGGTTCGAGCCAGAAGGTTGTCACAAACGACATTATTTTTTTTTCTAATTCGTTGCTCCGGAGGAAGGAAAAGGGACAAAGGTCCTTTTGCGAAGGCATTCCAGTAGGATATGGTTTGATTTATGGCTGAAATCACTGAGAACAAACCAAATGGATATATTCTAACCTCTGGCTAAATATCAACCGATTGAATATCACTAAATCAGAATACGCACCAAAATGTAGCTGGGGTCCCCGATCATTGTTGGGGGGTGACAGGTAATTCTGTCCCCCTGGTAAATGTGTCCCCCCGGACACATTAACCGGCTCGTGACCCGGTAAATGTGTCCGGAGGGACACTTTTACCTAGGTAGATTTGTCCCCCTCCAGGTAAAATTGTCCCCTTGCCCAACGGTAAAAGTGTCCCCCTGGTAAATGTGTCCCTATGCAGTATATACTGAGAGCAGCAGCGTGTCGCGCGCGCCAGTACATGCTGCAAGGTATGTGGCAGTGATTATCACACGTGTACATATGAGTCTCCCTCTACAATGGAAATTCATCCAATTGCAAATGTCGTTACGCGCTATGATGGCAACACAGACCAATCCAAGTAGGCGTTGATCAATGAGACGAGGGCCATCGCCATGCATCGCCGCTGTATTGACCTATCGCGGTAGAATCGCGATAGATTTCAACGTACTCCAAATCGAAACGTTGTGTTCACATATCATCTATTAGACTAAATTAAATATTTTTATATTCATGAAGGGCAGACTAAAAGTCCAAAATGTATACCTTGTAGAGTGAATTCATAAAAACAATCAAGAGAACTGGCCTTCCGGGTTTCAAAAGAGGGGGACAAAAAACCCTGGGGGACAGAATTACCTGGAGGGGGACAGAATTAACGGGCCGGGGAGGACACTTTTACCTCGGTGATTCTATCCCCCCGGACAGTTTTACCGGGGGGACAGAATTACCTTCCACACCCCCCACTAAAAAATTCCTGGCTACGCCACTGAATACACGTTACATTAAAATGAATATTCGTACACTCATTTGTCATGATGTTTGGCATCAAAAGATTTCATTTCATTAAAAAAACGTCAAGTAATCAAGCTATTATGACCGTAACAATACAGGATTTTATTTGCAATAAATACAATCCCAATGGAAGTCAACATGGATTTTTAACGTTTAAAACACTAGATTGTTACGATCATATAATATTTATAGCTCCACGGTTTTTTCACGCCATTCAAACTACTCATGCTACACATCGTGAAAACTAATTGCACGAAATTTCAATTTAATCCATTTTTTATTTCTTGAGTAGTTCATCGGAAACGAGGTTGTTCTTTTTCTTCACTTGTGCAGCATCCCGGAATGATGCGTTGTTGAGACCACTATTTATGTGGCGCGCCCTCTATTATAGTGGTCTCGATCTCCACCACCATTGAACCCGATTTCGGGCCAACAACTCAAGAAATACACGTTACATTAAAATGAATATTCGTACACTCATTTGTCACGATGTTTGACATCAAAAGATTTCATTTCATAATAAAAACGTCGAGTAATCAAGCTATTATGACCGTAACAATACAGGATTTTATTTGCAATAAATACAATCCCAATGGAAGTCAACATGGATTTTTAACGTTTAAAACACTAGATTGTTACGATCATATTATATTTATAGCTCCACGGTTTCTCACGCCATTCAAACTACTTATACTACACATCGTGAAAACTAATTGCACGAAATTTCAATTTAATCCATTTTTGTATTTCTTGAGTAGTTCATCGGAAACGAGGTTGTTCTTTTTCTTCACTTGTGCAGCATCCGTATTGATGCTTTGTTGAGACCAATATTTATGTGGCGCGCCCTCTATTATAGTGGTCTCGATCTCCACCACCAAACCCGATTTCGGGCCAACAACTCAAGAAATACACGTTACATTAAAATGAATTTTCGTACACTCATTTGTCATGATGTTTGGCATCAAAAGATTTCATTTCATAAAAAAAGTCAATTAATCAAGCTATTATGACCGTAACAATACAGGATTTTATTTGCAACAAATACAATCCTAATGGAAGTCAACATGGATTTTTAACGTTTAAAACACTAGATTGTTACGATCATATTATATTTATAGCTCCACGGTTTCTCACGCCATTCAAACTACTTATGCTACACATCGTGAAAACTAATTGCACGTAATTTCAATTTAATCCATTTTGTATTTCTTGAGTAGTTCATCGGAAACGAGGTTGTTCTTTTTCTTCACTTGTGCAGCATCCCGGAATGGTGCGTTGTTGAGACCACTATTGATGTGGCGCGCCCTCTATTATAGTGTACTCGATCTCCACCACCAAACCCGATTTCGGGCCAACATCTCAAGAAATACACGTTACATTAAAATGAATTTTCGTACACTCATTTGTCACGATGTTTGACATCAAAAGATTTCATTTCATAATAAAAACGTCAAATTATCAAGCTATTATGACCGTAACAATACAGGATTTTAATTGCAACAAATACACTCCTCATATAAGTCAACATGGATTTTTAACGTTTAAAACACTAGATTGTTACGATCATATCATATTTATAGCTCCACGGTTTCTCACGCCATTCAAACTACTCATGCTACACATCGTGAAAACTAATTGCACGAAATTTCAATTTAATCCTACGATGCGCTACGATGGGAACGCAGACCAATCCAAGTAGGCGTTATATCAATGAGACGTCCACCGTAGAATAGGGCTGCACCGTACTCCGAATCGATCGAAACATTGTGTTCACATTTCACATCTAAGAAAGAGACCAAAAAGTTTTTTTTTTCATCTTCATGAATGGCAGACTAAAGAGTAAAAAAATGTATACCTTGTGTAGAGTGAATTCATGAAAACAATATAGAGAACTGACCTTCTGCGTTGCAAAACTAGGGGGACAAAAAAACCTGGAGGGGACAGAATTACCTGAAGGGGGACAGAATTAACGGGCCGGGGGAGGACACTTTTACCTAGGTAATTCTGTCCCCCGGACACTTTTAACGGGGTACAGAATTACCATCACAGGGGCAGTAAAATCTCCTTAGCCAAAATCGGAACGAAGCCAGCGTTTCAAAAAGGCCATAAACAGCTGTGAGATCGATTTGGCGAACAACTGGTGGCGCCCTCTGACTTTAACCGTAAACACGTGCCGCGCTCCGTGCACAATAATGTACACTCAGGGTAGGGACATGTCGGAACACAGAACGTGAATGTGAACGCACCAGAAATAAATCATTAAGGTGACTTTCTTTGATACTTTCGATTTATCCTTATAAATGCGTATATTCCTCTTCAAGTCATAGTTGTAAACATCAGTTGTTAGTTTATACCGAAGTGGCACTCAACTTGGAAAGAATGTAGGAAGAATGTTGCAACCTGACGCTACTTTAACGGTTGTGTACAAACTCTATGGCGAGTCAAGAACATTTTCGCATGTTTCTCGCAGGGCGATCGTGTAGTGTAGGGCTCCTGTTTAGTTTCGATAAAATTAGGGTCAAGGGTGTTTTTTTTATTACTCAAAAAATGACCTTTTCAACCTAGAGCAGACTTCTCTCAACATAAATTATGATGACACCTTTTTGTAATTTTTGAACAGTTTCTTGGGGTAGAAATTACGATTTTCTTGCGCGGTTTACGATTGGTGCCGCGTGATCAGCGTGCCTTACACGTTCATGGTACATCGCGCGGTGATCACCATCTTTATTTTCCTGTTGCGTTTTGTCATTGTCATCTGGTCATAGTGGTTTTTACCTAGCTTGAGTAACTCCAGCTGACATGCTCCATATTCATTCACATTTAACGCTGGAGGCATAACCTGTTCGTTAGAATGTGGTAGCAAGAGACCCTTAAAAAAGGGCCTCTCATAAATTGTTCATTTTCACCTCTAATATCCCACCCAAGAGTTCATTTACATACCTTATACATTCAGCAGTCATTTATGAAGCCTAATGATCGACTTAAAACAGACCACAAAAAATAAATGCGAAAAATCTTGACGATTTTGGATGGCTTGTCCGTAAAAAAACGCCAGTTCCAACGGCTGTCGTCCATTTTGTTTTGCTAATTATGTAAATGTATGCATCACGTGATGACATCGAAAAAAATCTGCGCGCGCAATGTATGTGGGTACCACACCGCTTTCAGGCGCCGCAAGTGAGTTCAATTTTCGTCTGGTGCGTTGTCGCGGAAAGCAAGACAACGAGAATGCTCTCCGCGACAACGCACCAGACAAAAATTGAACTCACTTGCTTTTTTTTTTTTAGCGTGACAAATCCTTAGTGGGCATTAGAGCATGAGAATAACCTGAAATGCGTAAGTCTCATGTTCAATGCGTGAGAGTTGACAGGCTGTGTTTATCCTATTCTTGATCTCCATTTAGTAACCATGGATACCGCATCAGGGATTAACACACCAGAATCACCGGCCAGCCCAGAGGGAGTGAGATCAGTGGAGGAGACAGCAATACCTAGGTAATCTTGGCTGCATCACGCTTGAATATTGCTAGAAAATGTGTCAACTGAGAGTTTCATTTCTACCAGATATGAATATAGGCTGAAAGAATGGCCTACCAATAAATAAAAAATATAAAAATACTGCCAAAAATAATCACTGAAAGCAGTTTGGTAGATACATGTATGGCCAAGTAAAATCAAAAAATACTTCTGGTCTGGGATTTTTGAAAGAAAACGAAATGAGGCGGCCCCTCTATTGTGTTTTTTTTTAAGACGGCAGATTTTTCAAGATGGCAGTTTTTTCAACTCTTTTGCTGATATCATCCAAAGGAGCCATCACCTTTTTTAGGAGATATGGAAGTTTCATAGGAGAATTATTATTATTTTTTTTTTTGGGGGGGGGTTGTTTTTTTTGGGGGGGGGGTTTGGTGTTTTTATTTCGTGGCCTAATGGTTCACTAAATGCTCATCTATAGTTCTACGATATTATACAAATATTGAATGCTTCGAGTGGTGTAGTAAAACTAGCCTCCCGAGGTGATCCATGGACATTCCATTTTCCCGAGGCGAAGCGGAGGGAAAATAGAATGGTCCATGGATCATCGAAGGAGGCTAGTTTTACTTCACCACGAGATAAAGCATTCAGTATTTGTTTTATAACACTTCACCCACAGATTCTGCTTGATTTTAATATTTTAAATTATTTAAATCTGAACACAGTTGAAATAAACTTCAATTTCAATACAAAATTGGTGGAAAATGTATATCTCTCTTCCAAACTACCCCTTCACGAAATGTTTGAACCCAAGTCTGCGGTGCGCTCTCTTTGGAACAATACGCGCAACGCGCTTACCAGCATCCATTTGCACACAAATACCGTGCCGTGGAAATAGTACTTTGGTTGCCAATGGTATAGTACTTTGGTTGCTACGGGTATAGTACTTTTGGCCGTGCACAGAAAGATAGCAAAATTAGAAAGTAACATGTGACTCGCTCTCGGCCAATCAAGACACAGAATCTGTGGGTGAGGTGTTATAAATTGGTATATCAGCTGCAGCGTCATAGTATTGTGTTTTAATTCAGACGATAAATTCTGAACAGCACACCTATCACCAAAACTCTTGTTTGTACTTCAGATTTGAGTGTCCGCCAAATTTCCAACAAGTTGAGATATCAGCCGAGGATGAACCCCTATACCTGCAAGATATTAAAGGGACTACAGAACTCTGGCTCATCAAAACACCTCAAGATGTGAGTACGGTAATCCTTAAGATGCCCTAAAGTCCATTTTGCGACACAGAACAGTCGTTGACCTGTGTGAAGTTACAAAGTCATCCGCGCATCTTTATCATATAATTTCTTTGAGATGCAACTTCCAAGATAATCACACGATTTCTCAGTTTTGAGACCTGAGCATGACTTTTGTGCTTGATGCCTATGGTTCTGTTGCGGCGCCAACAAATCGCAGGTCAGCCTGAGGCCAGCTTTTACCTACCTTTCCCCCGAGCCTTCACAGTCAACCATTTTGTAGAATTTTGTAGGGTTTTGTAGGATTGAGGATGGCAGAGCTCAGCCGCTATACACAGAACTTGATGCCCCTTAAAAAGGATTTTTGGAGATTCAGGGAAAATAATTTGAGACTTAAAGGTTAATAGAAACCTGTTTTATGAGATGCAGTACACTTTTTTTTTGGTAGTACAGCTCTAGATTTTAGACCTTTTCACCCCAAAGTGATAATGGATGCAGAGGAGGGCAGTGAGGCAAGAAGCATAACCTATCCATTGAAAATGTACAGGGGTCCAAACATTTGCACTGTTTTCTCTCCATTTGTCCAGGATTTCTCACTTTTTTTCTTAAGAGAACCCTCTTAAAGGGAATATACAACATTTGCAAACATCGAAAAATAAAACTACCAAGTTGTTACGAAATACCTTTACTAGGATGTTGGTAAATGACAGTCTAAAGCGTCCTGTAAAATTATGGCACCTGGTGTGAAGTCATTTTCAAGAAAATGGTATTTTTGTATACATTTCCAACAGTGGTCGGCCAACCACTGTTGGAAAACCTAACTATTTTTCAACTACTGCTCCAAATTTACAATTTTTTTTTTCAGTCCAAATTTTGTTTGCTATTGGTTACATGTTCATGAACGGGTGCAGGCCAGCTAGACTTATTCCCTTACCTTACAATTTTCCGGCATCTCTAAATTGATCCATTTTATCTTAAATGGAGTCAGGGAACCAGACTACTTGAGCATTTTGGTTTTTCTCGGTTTTTCCAGCATTTTCGAACACAAAACTTCAAACATGTCAGTGTAACAATATTTGATCTATTATACTAACCCCTCAAATAGTTCATTTCTGAAAATTACAGCAAAAGCCAATGATGTACATTCCCTTTAAACCATCATAAGAAATACTATCTAAAAGACCTAAATACTAATTGTTTTTTGATGCACAAAATAAAAACTTTAAAGAAATGTTTTCATCCCATGCTCACAATTATCAGGGATATTAGCAGGGCTCCTTCCTACATGAAGGAATTTATAATTCTCCTCAATATCGTACGCGGTCCTTAAACTACACAATTTCGAATTATCTGTATGATATTCTCAGATATATATGAACTCTGTGCATTAGAGTGTGCAAACTTTGCACACTCTAATGCACAGAGTTCATATATATCTGAGAATATCAAAAACCAGCATGCACAGGCAATGTGACCACCAAAGAATACTCACAAGTGTTCGTGAAGTGCCACGTATTATTGATGCATGGAGTTCATTATATCTCAAGGCTTCAAGTCAGTTTCTCCTATATTGTAATCGATTACTTTTTTTCATATTGGATATTTAGTGGATTTTGATTCAGTATTCCTACTGTTTTTGTAAAATTTTCTTTCAGTTTGATGTGAAGAGATTAAACTCCAAGACTCTGTCATTGAGCGGATGGCAGTTTCTGGACGAGACGGAGGAATCTGACGTATCTTATGAAGTGCTGACTTCCCACGATGCATCATCGGACAAGGTGAGCCCACTGATCTCTATATAAAGACTGGATAGCGAAAAGAGAGCCACACAATGATTGAATATGACGCCATATTGGTGAGACCGGTCAGACCGCGGCTGGTGATCTACACAGGACAAGTCGCCGTCTTTATAGACAACGTGATTTCTTTTTAGTATCGTTTCGGTTTGCGGTAACACCATGTGGTAATAACTACTGCTTAGAAGATATTAGTTCTGAGAAGAACTTGTCCTGCTTATTATCAACTTTGCTAAGTAGTTTTTTTGGTTTTTTTGTTCTGTTTAGAACAGTCCTGCTGTAAGTTCTAAAAGAACTTGAACTTGTGATTTCTAAAAGAACTTGAACTTGTGATTTCTTTTGTAACGTCGCGGTTCACTTGACTTATATTTTTACCACCACCACTGACCAAGGTTTACAATTTTTCTAACGACGTGATTTACTTTTTTAATGCCGCAGTTCACTTTTTCGGTGTTTTGGAAATAATAATCTCTATGGAAATGTGTCCCTTTTAGAACATCATAATATGTGTACGTGACTAAAGTGCGCGTCAACTGTTGATACAACGCGCGTGTATATACGCGCTGAACGTTCGTATTCTACACAGCCATCTTCGTGAGACCGGGGGCGAATTGGTCAATATGCAAAGTCTACTGTGTGAATGCTGTATGGATATCTGCTATCCAGTCTTTATATAGAGATCAGTGGGTGAGCCCCATTTGTAGCCACACAAATCATTTTAATCTGAATGTGCACAATGCAGGGGTGGATCCATGAATTTTGCGGGGGGGGGGGGGGGGGGGGGGTTTCAGGGTCATTTTTTTTCATCAGCAAATCAGTGCTGAAATGTAGACAGGTTTGCTTCTCCTGACACTTGGCCTCTGTAAAATAATGAAGGGGGGGGGGGGGCTGGCACCATCTTCCAGTGGGACACTGTTCAAATCCGACGATCATGCACTCAGTTGCACAGTAGTGTGCAAATAGTGTGCAAATACCCCGTTATCCCCCGCTGGCTATGCCTGTGTGTCCGAGTGTTGTGGACAGGCGGACATATACGTAATTATTACTATTATTGTCACAATTTTTGTTTTGGTGTCAAAGCAGGTTGTTTGTTTTTACCCCCCTCCCCACCCTGGATCCTGATAGTGTTCATGCGTCATCGGTAATGTGTGCAAGAGTCCCTCTCAGTGGTCTGCCCCAAACTTCCTCTCTCTAAGTGCCGAGGAGTTGTGCACGGAGTACATGGTTATGCAGTTACTCTGTGAATAAAAACTAAATGTCTTTGTTCTGAATTCCATTCCAGAAGAGCTTACCTCGTCTCTTGGTTCCTTCCAAACATTGTGCAGATCTTGTGCCAGGTGAGTACCATGAATAATTTCAATCAACTCTCTCTTTGTAAACAGGTGAGCAGTGGCGTAGCCAGTGTTCTCACCTTACAGGGTGAGTGGGGGTAGGGTAGGGCTGGATGTTACAGTAAGGTGGGGGCCAATTTCTGTAGCATCTGTGCTGAAAGGAGGACAGGTGTTTTTTCCATGGTCCCTGCAATATAAACATGTGGGGCCCCCCGCCCATGCCCCGCCCCTTTGGCTACGCCGCTGTGTGTGACGGGGTAGTTGTGCATGAAATCAATGTTAAATATTTGAGACAAAGGAATTTTGAGTCAAGTTCAGTCACAGTTGGTGTAAATGTGTCTCTGGTGGTGTTTTCTGTAAGTACTGTTTTTGCATTTTCACCCTTTCTTGCATTTTCACCATTTCTCGAACATTGGGCTTTGCCAGTTTTAAAACTTTCATTTAACTCTCAGATCACGTAGACTTGTACTAGTTTTTTAAGTATACAAAAAAGGAATACACCACTTAAATCACATTTACAGAAATAAAACTTGTATTTTGTTGTATACACTCACACAGCTCCTACTTTCAGTGGCCAACTTGCCATTATGGAATCAGTGGCTGTTCCACCAGTTCTACTCCCTCCCTCTCCACCTCCAAGATCAAGTGAGTTACCACCGGGCCTGAAACAACGGTTTCTGCCATTTGGATGGGGTAAGTTCATACAAGTCTTTTTTCCAACCAAGTGAATAATGGAATAAATATGTGCTTGGCCAGTTTTAAAGAAGTACGTTTGGCTAGAGGCCTGGTCGCGGATAACGGCCCAAGCCCAATTTCGGTCAAAAAAGTCGAAATAAGTCAAAAACTGACAAAATTCAAAAATTTTATTTCAGGTTTTGTGAAACACCCCTTTGGCCATGTCTATGGTATGCGCCTTGTGCGCGTAGTACTAAAAATCTCCAAATGTGGAGATTGGCACGTGTGCGGTGCATTCAGCAGTTTTAAAACCACACACGTGACATGCTATCGACCAATTAAAATGGGTCAACTGTCTCGGGTATTTATAAATTGCATTTAGTACAATACCATCGTTATGGGAGTGGAACGACAGACGGTGACGTCATTTTGAGAAACCAATTAGGCCTAATTTTCCAGATTTGTTTTTTCATGAAGACAGCGGTCAGTATTTAGGCAGTTTCGTCAGTTATCCCAATATTTGTTACTTTTCAAGTAACAATTAGCTTTCCTGGTTTAATAAACTTGCACAATACGGAAGTGCCAATGTCATATGGCAGTCCCAGTTTTACTTTTGGTTGTCTGTTTCCTTGTTTAGGAAATATCATAAAACTGCTCTGACGTACGTGACCAGAAATGGTTTCTAATTACTAATAGAACCTTTAAGTAGTGTCTTCCTGTCCAGACTACTTGGCTTTGCAGTGCAATAGACCTTCATCATGCTGCCACCATTTTAAGTTATGTTCCCTGTATCCAATAACGGTACTCACTGATAATGGTTTTTTTGTGCAAAAAGGAGCCAGCCTATTTTTCCTTCCAGCCTCGCTTTAGTTACGTTGATTAGAATAGGAAAAACATCAAGATGGCTGCTACATGATAATGGTCTATAGACATGCGCCTACATAAGTGGTTAAAGCCACTTCCCTTTAACTTGTGTGTTATAGACCTTTCTGCGCTTGGTTGGCAAACTGCATTTTTGCCAACCACGGCCTGCAAAACTATGGAAGGTCCAACACTGCAAAAATGAAGAAGAGTTATTACAGATCACCAAAATATTATTTGATACTTGAAAATACAACATTTTCAACAAAACTACAAAATAATTCCTACGTATGCCTTTTTACTATGTGTTGATGGCGTTATGAGGACTTTATTGGAAAAATATGTTGCCAACTACGGCTTCAATTTATGCGCTTACGGCAGCCCATACAAAATGGCGCCAATGTTTACAAACAAAAGAAAGGCCTATTACTGGCTGAAGAAAAGTAAATCAGGCCTAATATGGCTTTTACATTTCACTGGTTTTCATTTGATACTTTCAATAACATTTAAGAATGACTGACCGACTGAATACCGTGACCCCCATATTGTTCAATAAACCAAATAATGTTGCATACTGTATCTAAGGCAAAAAAAAAAATACTCGGTCTCTGGTCAGACCAAAGTTCCGGAATTGATGCGGCGACGCGGCTTTTTTTTTTTTCAAGCTTGGATTGTACAGACAAGGTGGGGTACTATTTTGCTTTTTTGGTGTCCTCATGTACATTGGTGTCCTCCATAATTTGCCTTGGTGACATTGATCATTTGCCTTGGTGCAATTTCCCATTCCTTAGTGCTCCTTGGTACAAAAATTTGAGGAGGTGCGGCAATAGAGGCTTCTGTTGGAAAAAAAAGGATTGACGCGCATGATTAAAATCGATGCGTGTGCTGACCAGAGACCGTCTTTTTTCGGGGGGGGGGGAGGGGGGTGCCTAAGTCAATGGCGGCCCCATTCCCTATTTTAGGATGGAAATCTATGAAGGACATTTTCTTGAGTGAGTGATCAAGTAAGTGGAGAACTTGAAGGGATGGTTAAACCCTAACAAAATATTTATACATAACTTGTGGTAACAGTGCTTTTACATATTTACATTACTCGCTCCAATTTCAATGTATTCTATTCTAATTGTTTGTATTGACATGCTAATGAATATTTGCTTTTTTTTCAATCATTTCATTTAATAAGCTACAATTTCAGTGATAGATTTCTTTGGATGCCTATTGCAAAGCGATAAATCTTGACTGATTTATTACATTTGAAGGACTGTACTTTGTAAGGTGTGAAAATGAAAAGGGGAAGGGGGCTTAACCCCCCCCCCAAAAAAAGTACATGCATGGTAAAAGTATATATTTACATCTTGACTCATCACAATGTTTAACCCTAACCCACCTCACTCCTCCAAAATCCTCCTGGCGGTTTTGGAGGATTCTAGAGGATTGAGGATGAATGGTGATTGAATCAAATGAGGATTCTGGAGGATTGAGGATGAATGGTGATTGAAGCACAAGAGGATTTTGGAGGATTGAGGATGAATGCATTTTGAGGCAGGACTGTCTGATGATTTTGAAGGATTTGGCGTTAATTATCCTTCATTTAAACACGAGTGCAAAGTTTTGGGATGAGGAGGATTTTGGAGGATTGAGGATGAATGCATTTTGAGGCAGGACTGTCCGACAATTTTGAAAAATTTAGGCGGAGTTGCAAAATTTTGGAAAATTTTGGAGGATTTTGGAGGATTGAGGATGGTTGTAAGCAACAAGGGCCTAGGGGGTTAGGGTTAATGCACTAAATTGTTATTTTCATAATGATGTCCAGATGGAGGGGAGGTGGAATTATGCCTTAGAACCCTATGATCTGATCCTATCAGCAGGATCTGCTCTTGGTAATGTCTGCAGAGGGATATTGATCATTGGTACTTGCTGCCTCTTTCTGCAGCAGAAGGCTTGCTTAAAGGCCTTCCTGTACCTTCCACTACCAGCATTGAATATGACTGAATTAATGGAAGAGTTGATGATTCTTAAGCAAGCGACCATCAGAAGCAATGCCCAAATCACGTCTCCAGATACATGCACTTCTTCCAAACTTAGTGATAAAATTACAATTAGGGGAGCTATAGTTTGGGGCAGAAAACAGACAAATACCACGGCTGTGTTGATGCCAAGTATCAGAGTCACTCTTCGAAGATGTTTTGATGGACCTTGGATCTGGTCACCAGATAGATTTGGTGCATGCAGTCCCTTAATTAGGAGGATATTGAAAGTGACAGTGAGGATCAAAGTCAGGCCAAATGTAATAAAAATCAGGTAACTAATCACCCTTGACTGAACCATTCCTACGTTGGTCAAGATCACCTGCACATCACTCGATAAATGTTTATACTTTTCTTCATTTGGCCAAACAAGACATTTGTCTGCTGGTTCATTCAGTTTCTGAAACAGAGAACAGAAAACAATTACATTGACAGCCAAGGACAGCAGCCATATACAGACTGCTGCTCGTATTGCCCGTCGCTTGTGATTGAGATTACGGTGTTTGAAAGGGTAACAAATGGCAAAATATCTATCATAAGACAGCACAGTAACAAATGCTAAAGATGAATGGGCACCCACATTGGCTAAGTAAAATAAGACACTCACAACTACGTGGGATGAGTTACCAAAAGATGGGATATCAGATCTGTTTTGTTTTGTGAAGGCAACATATTGCTCATAAGTGGCACTTGAAATCAACACTATTAAATCTGATATCGCCAAATTTGTCAGGTAGAAATTAGTGACATTACGCATGGAGGGAACTCTTAAAACTGTAAAGAAAAAAGACAGAATGGATAGGATCCCTAATAGTTTGAGGACAGGTAGAACAAAACCATACATTACAGTCTCTGCATTGGAATACACATACTCATCAGCCTCTGCTGGATTCTCAAAGGCAAGGATTCGCAACGAGTGGTTGAAAAGTTTGTACGTCTCGTTGCTTTGTGCGTTGTAGGACTTGTTCATCAGCACCCCGGGGGCTGGTCCCCTGGCATCCCAGATCAGTGGATGATCCATCTGGGGTAGGTAATAGGCCATAGAGCAGTCATCGCTGTGGTTCTGTAAGACACAGGTGAAGAAGGTACAGACCAGAATGTCCAGCTGAGCAAGGGACGTTGTAGCTTGGGCATAGACGGTGACATTTGAATTGTATGACCACATGATTGACACAGAGCCTATCAGTGTCTGTAAAGAATTGTTAAATACCAGTTAATGCAACTGTTCAGTGAGTTGTACAGATAACGTTGGGTGGAGAAACACAGCAGAAGTTTGCTTTTCGAATGAAGAGCTGAACAAAATGGTGGTTTGCAGATGATGACAAAATCGAGCAAGACCACTTTGCCCCTCAAGCAGTACACAGGAAACAGAGATTTCTGAAAACGCAGACTTTGCTGTTCCACTTTGGTACAGTTTCAGGTAGTTTCCCACCAAAGACGTTTGTACTTAGCCAGTGTGTTATGTATTTTGCCGATTTCAGTTTAATAGTGGTTCGCAGTCAATGACAAATCAAGCAAGACAAGTTTGACTGGTGAGGATAACTGCAGGTTTGTTAGGCAGCAGTACAGTTGGGAATTACAAGCTAAGAACTTGCCTTTCAGTAGGATGCAATTAGCAAAGCTTCTTCCAAGGTACATGTACCCAAAGTACAGTTTTAAACAGCTGCTGAAAGCGTCATTTACTTTGGTACAGTTCTCTTTGGTACGGTTCACTTTGGTACAACGCAAGAGCAATGCAGCCAGTTCCTATTTGGTAGGAAAGAAGTTGGAATCTGCGTGCATGAATGTCCGTGTCCAAGTTGTCAGTTCTAGTGGCACTCTCACATCAAGGAACAGCAAATGTGACATTAAGTTGTTACCTGTTCTTGTTTTTGGAAGAAGCAAGAGTGTGTTTCACTGCCACAGCAATGGCTGTCCATAATATGCGAGGTTGATTTTCAGAGAGAGAACTGATGGCCTTGGTTAACTGGATGGCTTGGGATGAGAACTGATGTCAGGTTTGATTGCTGATTTCGTTGAAATTGAGAAGAGTAGAGACTTGTACAAGTGTTAAAGGATCAAGGCACAGTCAATCATGCACTGTTAACCTAAGGAAGTTGGAACAGCGATGAACCGTGGTATGTCCGCTGAAAAAAATCCAGAATGATCTTGAAGAGCAAGTTTTCTACTGAAATACTTTTACTGGTGCATCGCATCGAAACTGACATGCATGTGGTCACTTTCACTCTGCAAATTTAACTTGAAGATAATTTAAATAATTTTAATTTATAAATAAATAACCAACATCACATAAACACTGACGTAAAAAAAGAAAACTAAACTAATCACATGATGATGGGTGATCCCTTTTGATTTTCAAGCTTGCAACTTTCCTTGTTTTGTTCTCTTAGAATGGATTTTCCCACAAGAAAGTTGTCACAAAACCGATACCATAGTATTTACATGTTCGTATAAACTCACATGTAATCGTTGTAGACAAGACAAATATTTAAAGTACAGCTGGGCCTTCCAAAAGGGATATTTTTTATTGTGTTGTGTAAGTTCTTGAAATAAGTTGGTTGAAAGTGTAACCATTTTAAAATCGCTGATCTGTTTACTGCTTCCTTGTTAAGGAACTACTGTAGAATTACTTTGCAATTGACCTGAAGTGGCACTTTTTATTACACGGACCTTAAGGACTTGATAGTCTCTTACATGTCATAGGTTCTCATTAGCTTTTCCTCCATTATCATTGAAGAATACTTGGATACCATTGAAGGCAGAGTTTTTTCTTATGCAAAGGGAAGATGGTGCGAATGTTCCCTCCCCTTTCTAGAGGGGGAAGTTGTGTAAGCCCCTTCTCCGTGTGTCACCCATGGTATTAGATTGTGAATTTTCTATTGCCTACTGTAATTTCATTGGTATAGAACTGTTAAAGTCATGTTTACTGCTTTGCATATCATTTACCTCATATCCACTCCGTTCACAAGTACCCCCTCACCGGCAAAGAGAGTACAGTTGGGGGTGACCGATCGACGCCATCTTGCCTGATTGTAATTCATTTGCTGCGAAGCGCGGCCACTGCGCGTACATAGTACAAATCCCCTGGTGTACGTGCGTCACACACAAGGAACAGTACGCGTCAACCAGCGAAATGTCCCACCCATGGGACGTTGTTGCTATGTAAAAGGACGCCCTCTTTTGGTAGCGCACGGAGCTCATACACTGCATTGCATCTCAATGATCTCGTACACACCGCATTGCATAAGTTGCGAGCACGTGTTGGGTGTGTGTGTAGGGCCCGCACCACGTGCCTCGAAAAAGAGGACTGCAACCTCTCATTCTCAAGTTTGGCAGGAATTACAGTAATCAAAATGTTATACTGCAGTGTTTTGATTTATTTCTTTCAAGGTGAGTTAAAAGCTTTATCTTGTGTACTTATTGGCACGATATAACAAAACAAGACCCCCCCCCCAAAAAAATTGACAATCAACTGTGTATTTCACATGGAAAGGTTTACTTTATTGTGAAAAGGTCCACTTTGTGGCAAAAATGACTGTCCCCTTCCACCAGGCAGGCTATGACCCTGAGATGCGAAGCACCAAATTTGTCATAACATAGCTTGGGATAGGAACTGATCTTTTGCTGCCTTTACCAGAGTTTGTGCAGAATGAAAAACAGAGTTTCTTTCAATTCAGCAGTAATTACCATGTGTTGTGTGCTATCTGTTTTGGAAGACAATTTTTGAAATGCAACTTTAGGTAAATGAAACAAGGAAGCTGTGAGCTTGCAAACAAAAAGGATACCACCCATCATCATGCGATGTAGAGAGTTGATCACTTTGTCAGTTTCGATGCGCCATTTGGTAATTTGAAGTTTTGAACGAGAACACTCTATCTTGAAGGTCATTTGGCTGAGTGAAAGTGATCACAAGCATGTCAGTTTCGATGTGATTCACCATGGAAAGTATTAAAGTAGAACACTTGCTCTTAAAGATCATTTCGCGTTTTGTCGACAGCCACAACACATTACGTTGCTGGTAACCATGCATAGTGTTTACTGCGCCTTGAGCCTGTAACAGTTGTGCTTAATAAACTCTCTCAATTGCAACTATAAGCCAGCAATCAAACTTGACATCAGTTCTCATCCCAAGCTGTCCAGTTTACCGGGGCCATCAGTTCTTAGTGCAAAATTTACTGCATGTATAATGGACAGCCCTTGCCGTTGCCTACTTCAAGAACATGAACGGATGACAACTTGGTGTCACATTGGCTGTCACTTGACTTACATGTAAGAGGACAGAATAAGTTCTTCTACACACTCAGAACTTCATTTCCTTTTAAATTGGAAGTGCTCAACAAATACCTGCAGTTATCCTCACCAGTCAAACTTGTCTTGGTTGATTTTTGTCCTCATCTGCAAACCACTCTTTTGTCCAGCTCTTCATTCAGTGAGCAAACTCCTGCTTTGTTTCTCCACCCCTCCCATGTACACGTATATCTGCACTGGACACTGGACAATCACATCTAGTGTTATAAGACACTGCATTAAATACACACCAGCAGCAAGACTCAGTGTCCATCATGTGGTCGTACCCCGCAAATGTCACTGTCTATGCCCAAGCTACAACGTCCCTTGCTCAGCTGGACATTCTGGTCTGTACCTTCTTCACCTGTGTCTTCCATAACCACAGCGATGACTGTTCTGTGGCCTATTCCCTTCCTGAGATGGACCATCCACTGATCTGGAATGTCAGGGGACCAGCCCCCGGGGCACCGATGAACGAGTCCTACAGCGCGCAAAGCAACGAGACGTACAAACTGTTCAACCACGTTATGGACATCATTGGATTTGAGAATTCGGCAGAGGCTGACGAGAATGTGTATTTAAATGGAGAGACTGTATTGTATGGTTTTGTCCTGCCTGTCCTGAAACTATTGGGGATCCTATCCATTCTGTCTTTTTTCTTTACCCTTTTCAGAGTTCCCTCCATGCGCAACGTCACTAATTTCTACCTGGGTAATTTGGCTGTTGCAGATTTGATAGTCTTGTTTACATTTGGCACTCATCAGCAATGCTTGGCTTTGACAACACAAAATGAATTGGATACATCATTTTTTGGGAACTCAGCCCAAGCAGTTGTTACTCTCTTAGTATACATGGGGTGTGTGGGTTTTACTTCATCTTTAGCCTTTGTAACACTGCTGTCATATGAAAGATATTTTGCCATTTGTTACCCTTTCCAACATCGTAATCTCAATCTGAAACGACGGGCAATACGAGCAGCAGTTTGCATATGGTTTCTGTCATTATGCATAAATTTGATTGATTTCTTTAACAAGTTTCTGGAAATGAATGTACCACCAATCAAATGTCTTGTTTGGCCAAATGAGGAAAAGTACAAACATCTATCAGGTAATCTGCAGGTGTTCATGGTTAGTGATGAAACTTTGAATCAGGTACGTAATGGCATTTCTCTCTGTGTATTCACGTTGAGTTTGATCCTCACAGTCATTTTCAATATCCTCCTAATTAAGGGACTGCATCCACCAAATCCAACTGGTGATCAGATCCAAGGTCCATCAAAACATCTACGAAGAGTGACTCTGATACTTGGCATCAACACAGCCGTGGTATTTGTTTGTTTTCTGGTCCATATTGTAACTGTCCTAATTTTAATTTTATCGCTAAACTTGGAAGAAGTAACTGTATCTTACGATGTTCAAATTAACTTGATTATGATGAGTGATTGCCTCTTAGTCATCAACTCTTCCATTAATTCAGTCCTATTCAATGCTGGTAGTGGAAGGTACAGGAAGGCTTTTAAGCAAGCCTTCTGCTGCAGAAAGAGGCAGCAAGTACCAACAAACAATATCCCTCTGCAGACATTACCAAGAGCAGATCCTGCTGATAGGATCAGATCATAAGATCCAAAGGCAAAACTGCCCCATATAAAAAGAAAAAAATGTAATGCTCTCTTCCAAAAGGTTTTTGTAACATGGTAACTTCTAAAAATTCTACAATAATTTACTGTTCTGTCATTAATTTATTGTTCTGATATTAATTGTAATTTATTTATCTGTTAATCTTCTAAACAAATTATTTACACTGATATTTGCTGCCTTTCAGTTGGAGAGGGGGGCATGATTAAATTTGGTTGAAAGAAATAATTTAACTTCATCTACCACTGCATATTTGAATTTCACAAGTCAACAGATTTTAGATGTAAGTTAATTTTAGCCTCTACTCTCTGTTGAGTGTTACCTGTAAAGAACAATGTACATAGAGCTGAAAGTTGTTTCAATGTAAAAAGAAACGAAACACAATACATTTGTTCAAAGAGATGTATTGGTATTAAACATTTTGTATCTCGCATGCTGTCATTTTGTGTTTCATTTGTCAGTATACATGTACCTGGGACTTATACTCAACAATCCTTGTATTCAATTGGTTCTCTCTGGATTCAATGTGTGGCTGGCAGATATAGAACGTAACAAAAAAGTCCTCAAGAAATCCTTGATGTGAAATTGTCATCAGTTAACAAATATAATATTATATCAAATATTATATCTCTTACAATTACGTCCGCTTCCAAGGGTGGATCCAGCATTCAGGAAATGGGGGAGAGGGGGAGTTGTGGGCTGATGGGGGTAGGGGGAGAGGTGGAGGAGGGGTGGGGGATGGGGGTGATATCATTGAGGGAGGGGGGTTTGAGTGTAAGGTGTACTGAAGGCATGCCCTGGTAGGGGGGTCCTGGGGCATGCCCCTATTGGACATTTTGAAATCTATGATGATTTTTCCTGCATTCAAAGGAACTTAAGCATTCCATACATCATAGTTAGCCCAATTTTGCTAGTTTCATAACATTAGTCAGCGGCTGGAAGGGGGAGTTGCCCCCACCAGCCCCCTCCCCCACCTCTAGATCTGCTACTGCCTTCTTTCCCCGTCCCTTCCCCCACCCCCAAACCCTGTAAAGGAGAAATTTCCAAGTACACACACACACACACACACACACACACATTTGTTTTACTTACCCTATGTGGACATTCCTTTGTTTTCGTGTAGTTTAGAAAACTCGGTACAGAAAATAACTGTACTTAAACTGTGAAGGCTCTTTCAACCCAATTTTGGTGTGTTTTTTTATTTCCTTGAAAGTTTCTCTTCATTCTTTGACGGATAACCCTAACCCGAAAATGCCTCTAAACCTGTTTTCCAGAAAGGGCGAAACGTTATGTGGACACGGCTTAGTCCACATAACCTGCATAATGTGGACATCTTTTGATCACGTCCACACAGTGACTGTAAGACAAACTCACCCCAATGTGTTCATACCGTCGATCGTGGAAATCCAATTGTCCCTCTTTTATTTGTACTAAATTTTTAGGAACACTTTCTATTGTTCCTCTTCCCTTTTCCTTTGTTAAGGCCTATACTCTAACTTTTTTGCAACAGCTCTCGCTGTTTTTGTACACGTTTTCTAATTGAGGTCGTCCTTGATTTGGTTCCTGTCCTCAATTCATCGATGATGTTGCATGTGTGTGTCCTCGATTTACACCATAAACAGACGCACTAGCCCATTTGCTTATGGCGTAAATCAAGGATTTTCTTTTGTTCCTCTTCCCTTTTCCTTTGTTTGTTTGTTTGTTTCCTTTTTCGCAACAGCTCTCATTGGTTTTGTACATGTTTTCCAACCGAGGAGTCCTCAATTCGGTTTCTGTCCTGGATTTATCGATGGTGTTGCATGTGTGTGTCCTCGATTTACACCATAAACAAATGCATGTTAGTGTGTATTTGCCTGCAATTGGGGACCCCTATTGTCCCTCTGTTGTTTGTACTTCAGCTTTTTAGGAAGACCTCCCATATGTGTTGTACACGATCATAGATTGGGGACCTTGGGGAATTGGGAACCCTATTGACCTCTATTGTTCAATGCCCCCTATTGAATGCAGAAACAAACTCCCAACGTCAAAAGGGTTTTGTGTTTGGCTGAACACGTCCCCGTCCCCGCTACCCATAAATCTTTAAATCTTTAAAACTGAAATATTCCAACATCTATAACTCATCCGAAGAAGAACTTTTCCCATCCAATTCACAGAGCTAAAATGAAAGAGGTGAAGGGAGGGGCTGTTGACTTTATAATTTGCAACTGGATATGGTGTATTGATACAAAGGTAGCTCATGGGGGAGGGGATTGCACAACTGCCCCCTGTTGTTCAGGGAGGGAACATTACAACCACCTTCCCCATATTCATAAAAAGTCTGGGTTTATTGGCATGCAATGATTCTTCAGTGCTAATGTGTGAGAAGCTAATAAGAACCAGTGAAGTGTAGCCATCACTTTCTGATGTTCATATTGTAAACAGTGCCCTCTTAAAGCTATAATCCATCATTTGTAATTAGTGCATTTTTGTTCAAAATCTAATGAAGGATACTGAGCAACTAACCTGATGAAGTTTCAGCTAAGCTTCAGCTGTACATTCCGAGAAAAGCAGCATTCTAAGATCTCAATTTCAAATCAAAAGTTACTGAATCATGTTTTGAATTGTTTTGAATTGCAGCTATACGCGGCGTCGCGCACTGATCCCACGAATTATAACAACCGCGCGCGCGTGTGCGTCGTTCCAATACTTGTGCACGCTGTGCTGAAAAACAAAACAACCACTAATTTAAATTTTCCTACGGTGCTTCTTAAGAATCACCGTTGGAAATGCCTTCACTCGTTGATTACTTCAAAATGACAACTTCCCAGAAAGAATAATTTCACAGGGAGTTTAGTTCCCTTACTATCTTTCAACCAAGTTTGTTTTTCAACAGTAATTACGCCAGTTACTTTTCGGATGGCTGCAAATGATGGACTATAGCTTTAAGCCACATACAGAGTAGCTCTACAATATCTCTTTAACAAAGTTGACTGATCAGTGATCTCAAGATAGTCACGCTTTCGACAAAATTATTTTAAGAACTTTCACAATACAAAAGTGAAAATTGAAAGGCCTAGCTGGGAGTGTACATTAAATATTTATCTTAATGCTAATATTTGAACTTTTATATGTAAATAACATGGTATCAGTTTTCAGGCAACTTTCTTTAACTTATAAGAGAAAAAGAAAAGAAAAGCCGCAAGCTGGAAGATCAAAAGGGATACCACCTGGCACCCATCATCATGTGATTGTTACATTTTATACAACACAATCATGGTAAAAATTAATTTGTCAGTTAAACATTCTATCTTCGAGTTAAATTTGCAGAGTGAAGAGTGAAATTGACCACATGCATGTCAGTTTCGATGTGATAAACCAGCGACAGTATTTAAGGAGAACACTTGCTCAGCTGCCACATCACAGTTTGTCACTTTTCCAGTTGCTAAAGTTAACAGTGAATGGTGTTCACTGTACCTTGAGCCTCTAACGCCTATGCTTATGCACCCTCTTGATTTCACCAAAAGCAGCAATCAAACTTGACATCTCATCCCAAGCCATCCAGTTAACCGGGGCCATTACTTCTCTCTAAAAATTGGCATCACATATTATGGACAGGCCCGTCTGTGCAGTAAAACGTACTGTTGCTTCCACCAGAAACACAAACAAGTAACAACTCGCTGTTGCATCTTCTGTTCCTTGATTTGAGAGGGCCACTAGATCAGACAACTAAGTCTTCGGAAACGGACATCAACAAAGATTTCAATTTCGTTACTACCAAATAGGAAGTGGAGAATACCCAGAAGGAACTGGCTTCATAACTCTTGGGTCATAGCCTAAACTGTACCAAGCTGAATGACCCCGTGAGCAGTTGTGTACGTGTACTTTTGAAAAAGCTTTCCTCTTTGTATCCTGTTTGAGAGGCAAGAGTTTAGCTTGTCATTCCCAACTGTGTTGCTGCTGAACAAACCTGCAGTTATCCTCACCAGTCAAACTTGTCTTGCTTGATTTTGTTGCCACCTGCGAACCACTTTTATGTTCAGCTCTTCATTTTCTGAGCAAACTGCTGCTGTGTTTCCCTGCAACGTTATCTAGACAAGTCACTGAACAGTTGCACTAACTAGTATTTAGCACTTCAGTACAGACACTGGTAGCAGCAAGACTGCGTCAATCATGTTGTCGTACAATTCAAGTGTCACCGTCTATGCCCAAGCTACAACATCCCTTGCTCAGCTGGACATTCTGGTCTGTACCTTCTTCACCTGTGTCTTCCAGAACCACAGCGACAACTGCTCTGTGGCCTATTCCCTACCCCAGATGGATCATCCAGTGATCTGGGATGCCAGGGAACCAGTCCCCGGGGCACCGATGAATGAGTCCTACAATGCACAAAGGAACGAGACGTACAAACTTTTCAACCACTCGTTGGTAATCATTGCCTTTGAGAATCCCGCAGAGGCTGATAAAAATGTGTATTCCAACGCAGTGACTGTCATGTATGGTTTTGTCCTGCCTGTCCTCAAACTATTAGGAATCCTATCCATTCTGTCTTTTTTCTTTACCCTTTGCAGAGTTCCCTCCATGCGTAATATCACTAATTTCTACTTGACTAATTTGGCAGTGGCAGATTTGATGGTCTTGATTTCACTTGGCACTCATACTCAAATCGCGGCCTTGACAACACATAATGGATTGAATGCATCATATTTGGGAAACACAGCTCAAGCAGTTCTTAGTCTCTCAGCGTACATAAGCCATGTGGGTTTTATTTCATCTTTAGCCTTTGTAACACTGCTGTCTTATGAAAGATATTTTGCCATTTGTTACCCTTTCCAACACCGTAATCTCAATTTGAAACGACGGGCAATACGAGCAGCAGTTTGCACATGGTTTCTGTCACTGTCCATAAATTTGATTATTTTCTTTGATCAGTTTTTGTACATGAACAGACAAGCAATCAAATGTCTTGTTTGGCCAAATGAGGAAAAGTATAAACATCTATCGAGTAATGCACAAGTGTTCGTGAATGGTGATGTAACTTTGAGTCGGGTTGGTAATGGGATGTCTTTGTGTGTATTCATGTTGAGTTTGACCCTCATAGTAACTTTCAATATCCTCCTTATTAAGGGACTGCATGCACCAAATCCAACTCGTGATCAGATCCATGGTCCATCAAAACATCTTAAAAGAGTGACTCTGATACTTGGCATCAACACAGCCGTGGTATTGGTTTGTTTTCTGGCCATAGCTGTAACTGTCCTAATTGTAATTTTATCGCAAAACTTGGAAGAAGTAACTATATCTCATGATGTTCAATTGAACTTGATTTTTATGACTGATTGCCTCGTTGTTATTAACTCTTCCATTAATTCAGTCATATTCACTGCTGGTAGTGGAGGGTACAGGAAGGCCTTTAAGCAAGCCTTCTGCTGCAGAAAGAGGCAGCAAGTACCAACGATCAATATCCCTCTGCAGACATTACCAAGAGCAGGTCCTGCTGATAGGATCAGATGATAGTGTCTTAAGGCATGACTCTCCCCCCTAAAAAAAAGTGAGAAAGAAAAGGAAAGAAAAAGCCATCCTCTCTCCCAAAACTTTGTGTTTCCTCCATAGTAATTTCCAAAAGTTCCATTTATTGATGCCTCGTTGCCAAGCTTTTCAACAAATTTTTAAACACTGGAACTCACAGCACGTCAGTTTTATAGGGAGAGCCATAGTGTACTTTGTTTAAAAAAATGTTTCAACTCCATCGACCAACGCATTTTTGATTTCCACATTTCAACAGATTTCAGATGGAAAAAAAATTTAAGCATGCACACTTTGATGATTCTTGTCTGTAAATACACTGTACATAGAACTAGACAACCAACTGTTGTTTAATGTAAAAACAAAAAGAAAGTGACTATTTTTGTTCTAAAGATTGTAGTGGTATTAAAGACCTGTATCTTCCATGCTGTCTTTTGTGTGTTTGCTTTGTCAGTACTCCGGGGGACTTGTTCTCGTCTTCAGCATTTCTTGTTTTGTGTAGGTTTCTCTGATTTTATTGTTTTTTGAGTGCTCACATCAGAATTTAAGAAAGATCTCCAAGAAAGCCCTTCGTTTGACATTGTCATGGGTCAAAGAACTGTTAGTAAAAATAAATGTGTTTCTGTAATAATAAATAAACATGTACATTGTTTAAAAATATGTCCCTTCCTAGCCAATTAACCTATTGCGTTAGAATCGCGTCAATGCAGCTTGTAAAATATTGTCCAATTACATGTACATAATATACAAATGGATGTGAAACGCCAGAAATCTGAGACAAACAAAACGTAACATACACAAATTCCATAGGGTTGTCTAAGGGGCATGGCTAACTTGCAAACTGCAATAGGTCAATTCCCCCCCCCCCCCTCTCAGGGGCGTAGCAGGGTCATTTTAATTTTTTTTTGGGGGGGGAGATTGGGGGGTAATGGCAAATGCACATTCATAGTGAAATGTAGATACGTTTTTTTTTGGCCTCTGTATAATCAAAATGTGGGAGGGGGGTGGGCAAAGCTGATGATAATGTACACTAACAGACAATAGATGGTGCTTTTCAGGGCGATACACACGCGAAATTAAACAAGCAACTCATACTGGCTGATGGCACAAAAAAGGCACAGTTTTTTTTTAAAGGGCACTTGTTAACAAAAGAAGGGCATGCTTTACAAATATTGGGGGGGGGTAAGCACTGGTGAAAACAAGGGCAATTTGAATGGAAAAAGGCAGTCTTTACAAAATATTCGGGGGGGGGGGGGGTGTTTGAATTACCCCTTACCCACCTCCATCAGCTACGCCTGTGCCTCTAGAATGCTACTGCCTTCCTACCCCCCCCCCCCCCCAACCCTGTAAAGGAGAAAGTTGAAATATAAACACACAGTGCCACATCAACGGGTTTTCTGTTGGGGCTGAACACTTCCCCGCCACCCCAACTCTTTACTGCTTAAACATTCCGACGTTGCTAACTTCTCCCGTGCAATTTTCTGATCCCAAATGAAGGAGGCAGAGGGCAGGGGCTGGTGACTGTATAATTTGCAGCTGGATATTGTGTGTTAGTTGAAACATAAGTGGCTCGTGGGGAGGGGTTTGCACAACTGCCCCCTGTTGTTAGGGGAGAGAACATTAGCACCATCGTTACCATATTTGTAAAAACTCTTGAGTTCACGGTATGAAGGATTCTTCAATGTTATTTGATGAGAAACTAATGAGAACCAGTGAAATGTAAAAGCCATTGCTTCATACATGTATTGTAAACAGTGCCCTCTTTAGCCACGTACGAAGTAGTTCTACAAAATTCCCTGAACAAAGTTGACTGATCAGTGATTTCAAGATGGCTTCACTTTCTTTCAACCAATTTATTTTAAGAACTTACACAATGCAAAAGCGCAAATTGAAAGGCCTATCTGTACTTTAAATATTTATCTCAATGCTTACAAGTGAATTTATACATGTAAATAATATGGTATCGGTTTAGAGGCAACTTTTTTTTAAGAAAAAAAATCAAATCTAAGAAAAAAAATTAAAGCAGCAATCTTGAAAATCAAAAGGGATACCACCCATCATCATGTGATTATTTTTTGTTTATATACAACATAATCTGCGTGAAAATTACCTGGTGAGTTTCAATGTGGCATTTGGTTATTTAAAATATTTAAGTTAAACACTGTATTCAAGTTAAATTTGCAGAGTGAAAAATGACCACATGGATGTCAGGTTCGATGTGATAAACCAGCGACAGTATTTAAGGAGAACACTTGCTCTGCAAGATCAGACTGCAGGTCCTAGCTCAGCTGCCACATCACAGTGTGTCGCTGTTCCAACTTGCTAAAGTTAACAGTGAATGGTTTTCACTGCACCTTGAGCCTGTAACGCTTATGTACACTCTCTCCATTTCTAGTCAACCAGCAATTCAAATTGACTTCAGTTTTCATCCCAGACTGTCCAGTTCACCCGGGCCATCACTCCTCTCTGAAAATTGTCATCGCATATTTTGGACAGGCCTGTCTGTGCAGTGAAACATACCAGCTCAATAAACATAAACAGGTGACAACTTTGTGTTGCATCTTCTTTTCCTTGATTTAAGAGGGCCACTAGATCAGACAACTAAGTCTTTGGAAACGGACATGAACACCGATTCCAATTTCTTTCCTACCAAATAGGAAGTGGAGAATATCAAAAGAAACTGGCTACGTAACTCTTGGGTTATAACTTACCTTAAACTGTACCAAACTGAATGGCCCTTTTTTTCCTTGTATCCTGTTTGAGAGGCAAGCTATCCCCAACTGTGCTGCCGCTGAACAAACCTGCAGTTATCCTCAACAGTCAAACTTGTCTTGCTTGATTTTGTTGTCGTCTGCGAACCACTCTTTTGTTCAGCTCTTCATTCAGTGAGCAAACTTCTGCTGTGTTTCTCCACCCCACGTTATCTGTACAAGACACTGAACTGTTGCATTTACTAGTATTTGACACTTCTGTACAGACACGGTTGGCAGCAAGACTCTGTGTCCATCATGTTGTTGTACCATGCAAATGTCACCGTCTATGCCCAAGCTACAACGTCCCTTGCTCAGCTGGACATTCTGGTCTGTACCTTCTTCACCTGTGTCTTCCAGAAACACAGCGAAAACTGCTCTGTGGCCTTTTCCCTACCCAGGATGGACCATCCACTGATCTGGGATGCCATGGGACCGTTCCCTGGGGCACCGATGAATGAGTCCTACAACGCACAAAGCAATGAGATGTACAAATTCTTTAACCACTCGTTGGAAATCCTATCCTTTGAGAATCCGGCAGAGGCTGAAGAGGATATGTATTCCAACACAATGACTGTATTGTATGGTTTTGTCCTGCCTGTCCTCAAACTATTAGGGATCCTTTCCATTCTGTCTTTTTTCTTTACTCTTTGTAGAGTTTCCTCCATGCGTAATGTCACTAATTTCTACCTGACTAATTTGGCTGTTGGAGATTTGATGGTCTTGATTTCATTTGGTACTCATCAGCAATTTGTGGCCACGACAACACAAAATGGATTGGATACATCATATTTGAGGAACTCAACCCAAGCCGTTACTCTCTTAATATACCTCTTTCTAGGCAATTTGGGTCTTATTTCATCTTTAGCCCTTGTAACACTGCTTTCTTATGAAAGATATTTTGCCATTTGTTGCCCTTTCCAGCACCGTAATCTCAATTTGAAACGACGAGCAATACGAGCAGCAGTTTGTATATGGTTTCTGTCATTATGCATAAGTTTGGTCAAGTTCTTTGATCGGGTTCTAAACACAAATGAACAACCAATCAAATGTCTTGTTTGGCCAAATGAGGAAAAGTATAAATATCTATCGAGTAATGTGCAAGTGTTCGTGAATGGTGATGTAACTTTGGGTCAAGTTGGTAATGGAATGTTTTTCTGTGTATTCATGTTGTGTTTGATCCTCACAGTCACTTTCAATATCCTCCTCATTAAGGGACTGCATGCACCAAATCCAACTGGTGATCAGATCCAAGGTCCATCAAAACATCTACAAAGAGTGACTCTGATACTTAGCATCAACACAGCCGTGGTATTTGTTTGTTTTCTGGCCCAAGCTGTAACTGTCCTTATTGTAATTTTATCGCAACACTTGGAAGAAGTAACTGTATCTTACGATGTTCAAATTAACCTGGTTCTGATGACTGATTGCCTCAGAGTCATCAACTCTTCCATTAATTCAGTCATATTCAATGCTGGTAGTGGAAGGTACAGGAAGGCCTTTAAGCAAGCCTTCTGCTGCAGAAAGAGGCAGCAAGTACCAACGATCAATATCCCTCTGCATACATTACCAAGAGCAGATCCTGCTGATAGGATCAGATCATAGGATCCCAGGAATACCCCCCTCCCCCCCCCCAAAAAAAAACCCCAAGCGTTTCTGTAACATGGTAACTTTCAAAAGCAGCATAGTAATTTGTCGCTGTGTCATTGTTAAGTTTTTGACAAAAACTGGTTTTTGTAGTCCTTCAGTTTATGTTGTGGGAGGCATGGCCTACTTGTTTTAAAGAAATAATTTAATTCCTTCTACCACTGCATTTTAGATTTTGACAAGTCATCAGATTTCAAATGTAAAAAAACATGTACATCTCTACTCTCTTTTGAATGTCTGTAAATAATCAAAACACTGTACATAGAACCACAGAACTGACAGTTGTGTCCATGTAAAAAAGGAAAGAAATGAATTTGTACAAAGATTGTAATGGCATTAAACATACTGTATCTTCCATGCTGTCATTTTGTGTGTTTCGTTAGTCATTACACGGGACTTGTTCTTTTCTTCAACAATCCTTGCTTTCTATTGGGCCAACAGCACGTGAGATGTGTCTCGGTGATGTTTCTGTGACATTGTCATTAGTTGAACATTTCTTATTAAAAAAATAATACTTCTATACTGAGTGTACAATGTTGAATATTATATCACCCTTCCTGCCCCCCTCTGCCCCGCCCTGCAAGGGGGAAATTTGAAATATAAAGACACAGTAGCACATCAAATTATTTTCTGTTGGGGATTAACATGCCCTTATTACCCCAAATCTTTAAAGCTAAAATATCCCAACACTTATAAATCACTTCAAATATTTATCCCGTCAATTTTCGGACCTCAAAGGTAGGAGGTGGAGGGAGTGGAGCTGATGTTGATTAAACATTCAACAGTATTTGGTGTTTTGAATAAAAGGTGGCTCATGGGGGGAGGAGCTCGTACAACTTTCTCCTCAAGATAGGTGAGGGAAAATTTGCATGTTCTGCACAAACCCCGCCTTCCCTTGTATTCAGTCATTCTTAAATGTCACCGGATAAGTGTGAAATGAGAACCATTGAAATAGAGGAACCATTCTATTTTTATTTGTGGTGTGTGTGAGGGGGGGGGGGGGTTTACTTTCAGTCAATAGCGCCCTCTTCTGTTCATGCACAGAGGAGTTTAATGAGTTGACAGAGCTATCGGCTATGACAAGCTGGGTACATGTACAACCAACTGAAGTCAACCAACTTTCACCATACGAAAGTAAGCATTCCTTTGGCAGGCCCAGCTGCACTTCCAATAGTTTCGTTTGTTTAGGAGACTTATAACTGAATGTTATTTTTCAACATGCTATTGGTTTTCAAAGCAAGTTTTGTGAGAAAATCAACTTTAAGAGCTCCAAACACAGAAACTTCTGGTTTCTGGTTTAGAAATCAAACGGGACGCCCCCATTATCTTTTTCCCCAGTATTAATAGAATACATCAAAGTAAAAGTGACTTCATCAGTTTTGTTGCGATGTTGTAAAGTTTTGAAGTAAGGCATTTGATCCCTGAAGATAATTATGCGTTTGAAATTCCATTTGCATGTAGAATGATAACTAATTATCCATTCTTCATTGATGAAATCTTGTAAAGCGAGGCCAGGGTATGTGCTGAATATTGGTATGATGTTGGCAATTTCCTTCACTTAGCAAGAGGGGGGATTATGCAAGCCCCTCCCCATGAGATACCTATTGTTGAATACACCACAAGTACAATGTACATGCACTCTTTGCATGTTCAATAGTTGTTCGCCGGCCTAGCCACACTTCCCCCCTCCTACATGCACCCCCACCTCTGTCCACTTAGGTCGGGGAAAAAAGTAGGACAAATCAATTTTTTTCGGGGGGGGGGGGGGGGATCAGCTTGTATCATGAGGAAAGTTGGGAGGGTGGGGTATCAAGCCCTACATGACGATTCACCACTAGTATAAACAATTCCATTTCCTTGCATTCAGAGAAGCCTAAAAGACAATCGGTCGACACAGCAGACAACTATCGCTTGTTGGTGCCATCTTTCCTTTATTCTGCAAAACTTGAATCCACCTTCCCTGGTATTCAGTCATTCTTCAAAGGTTAATTTGAAATGCGAACCACTGAAATAGAAGAAGCATCAATGTTCTTCCAAATAAAAGCGCCCTCTTCAGTTTATTCACAGAGCAGTTTAATGATAGTTCCTGAACAAGGAGACAGTTGACAGAGCTATCATTGATGACAAGATGGTAACACATTATACAACCAACTTGAAGTCAATAAACTTGCACAATACCAATGTGCAGAATTCCTTTGTCAGGCAAAGCTATATTTCTAGTAGCTTTCCCTTTTTAGAAGAGTTTACAGGTGAATACATTGTGTATTTATTTTAAAATTATGCTATCGGTTTTGAATGTAACTTTTGTGGGAAAATCAACGCCCAGAGCTTCACACAAACAATCAAAAGGGACTCCAGCAATCATCATTGGATATTTTCTTAAAAAGAAAAAATAATCAGTGAAACTGACAACAAGCATAAGTTTCGATGTGACGTTGCCGTTCAAAGTATAAAAAGGAGAATACTAACTTTTGAATATCAGTTTGCAAATTTTCAGCTGTCAGATCACAATGCCTTGCTGCTTCAACACACTATTGATAATACTGCATACACTGCATGGTGCTGACTCTGACTAAAGCGTGTCTAACAATTGTGCATTGTGCACTCTCTTTATCTCAAGTAAACCAGTGATCAAACTTGAAATCAGTTTCATCCCAGGCCATCCAGTTAACCAGGACCATCAATTCTTCTCTGAAAGTTGACCTCAGTATTCTGGACAGCCGTGACTGTAAGCCATATACTGTTGCTTTACATACGGAAACAAGTAACAACGCGGTGACACATCTGCTGTCACTTGTATGAGGGGACAAACAGTTCTTGTACAAACTCGAATTTCTTTCCTATTAAATTGGAATTGATGAAATTCACAGAACACTGACTACAATAATATTGGGTTGGAACCTACTTGAAACTGTACCCAAGATGATACTTCATGTACTTGTGAAAACCTTAGTGTTCAGTGTACTGTTTTAGAGGTAAATTTCTGCTGTGTTTCTCCACCCCGCGTTATCTGTACAAAACACTAAAGAGTTGCATTTACTAGTATTTAACACTTCTGTACAGTTTGAGATGCAAACTGCTTTGCTGCTCAACAATCCTCACCGGTCAAACTTGTCTTGCTTGATTCTGTCATCATCTGCGAACCACCCTTTTGTTCAGCTCTTCATTCAGTGAGCAAACTTCCGTTGTGTTTCTCCACCCCATGTTATCTGTACAAGACACTGAACAGTTGCATTTATCAGTATTTAACACTTTTGTACGGTTGAGATGCAAACTGCTTTGCTGCTCAACAATCCTCACCAGTCAAACTTGTCTTGCTTGATTCTGTCATCATCTGCGAACCACCCTTTTGTTCAGCTCTTCATTCAGTGAGCAAACTTCTGCTGTGTTTCTCCACCCCACGTTATCTGTACAAGACACTGAACAGTTGCATTTACTAGTATTTAACACTTCAGTACAGTTTGAGATGTAAGCTGCTTTGCTGCTGAACAAACCTGCAGTTATCCTCACCAGTCAAACTTCTCTTGCTTGATTCTGTTGTTGTCTGCGAACCACTTTTGTTCAGGTCTTCATTCAGTGAGCAAACTTCTGCTGTGTTTCTCCAACCCACGTTATCTGGACAAGACACTGAACAGTTGCATGTACTAGTATTTAACACTTCTGTACAGACACGGGTACCGGTAGCAGCAAGACTCTGTGTCCATCATGTTGTTGTACCATGCAAATGTCACCGTCTATGCCCCAGCTACAACGTCCCTTGCTCAGCTGGACATTCTGGTCTGTACCTTCTTCACCTGTGTCATCCAGAACCACAGTGATGAATGCTCTGTGCCCTATTCCCTGACCCAGGACCATCTACTGATCTGGGATGCCAAGGGACAAGCCCCCGGAGGGTTGATGAACGAATCCTACAATGTACCAAGCAATGAGACGTACAAACTGTTCAATAACTCGTTTCAAATCCATGGTCTTGAAAATCCGACAGAGGCTGATGAGTTTTTGTATTCCAATGCAGAGACAGTAATGTATGGTTTTGTCCTGCCTGTCCTCGAACTATTAGGGATCCTGTCCATTCTGTCTTTTTTCTTTACCCTTTGCAGAGTTCCCTCCATGCGGAATGTCACTAATTTCTATCTAACTAATTTGGCAGTGGCAGATTTGATGGTCTTGATTTCAAAGGCCACTCATCAGCAATGTTTGGCCTTCACAACACAAATTGTATTAGATACATCATATTTGGGGAACTCAGCCCAAGCAGTTGTCAGTCTCTTATTATACACAGGCAATGTGGGTATTATTTCATCTTTAGCCTTTGTAACACTGCTATCTTATGAAAGATACTTTGCCATTTGTTGCCCTTTTCAACACCGTAATCTCAATATGAAACTACGGGCAATACGAGCAGCAGTTTGTGTATGGTTTCTGTCATTGTGCATAAATTTGGTCAAGTTCCTTGATCTGGTTCTGAACACAAATGTACAAACAATCAAATGTCTTGTTTGGCCAAATGAGGAAAAGTATAAATATCTAACGAGTTATGTGAAGATGTTCGTGAATGTTGATGAAACTTTGAATCAGGTTTCTGATGGAATGTTTCTTTGTGTATTCATGTTGAGTTTGATCCCCACTTGCACTTGCAATATCCTCCTAATTAAGGGACTGCATGCACCAAATCCAACTGGTGATCAGATCCAAGGTCCATCAAAACATCTACAAAGAGTGACTCTGATACTTGGCATCAACACAGCTGTGGTATTTGTTTGCTCCATGGCCCAAGTAATAACTGTCCTAGTTGTAATTTTATCGCAAAATTTGGAAGATGCAACTATATCTTACAATGTTAAAACGAACTTGGTTCTGATGATTGCTTGCCTCGGAGTCATCAACTCTTCCATTAATTCAGTCATATTCAATGCTGGTAGTGGAAGGTACAGGAAGGCCTTTAAGCAAGCCTTCTGCTGCAGAAAGAGGCAGCAAGTACCAATGATCAATAT